GGCAATGGCTCCGTGTCTAGAGAGATAGATGCCACTTTCAGCCCACGTGCCATAGGCTTTTCATCACGGTTATGGGTCCAATCATAACTGATGTTTGCTTTGCGGCATTCTTTGGTAACTTTTAAAAAAAATCTAATTTGCACATGGAAATCATATCCTTTGTACAAATTAGAATAGCTGATGAAATGCTTTTTGTACTGTCATATTATTCCTTAGTATAGTAACTTTGAAATTCTTGAAGTTTCAATTCTTTTTTAATTTATATGTCAACCATTTCCCTGGTTTATTCACAAATTCATGTGTTTATTTTTTTTAAAGAACACATTTTCTTTTTATATCACTATTCTTTTTTCTGTAATATTACTATTTCAATAATATTATTTCATTTAGTCTCCATTGAAAAGTAATAGCTTTCTTTTTCTAAACCAAACTCATCGGGTTATATAGTCTGATAAGATCTTTACTTTAGAAATCTTAACAGAATAAAAAGAGCTAATTTTAAGGATTTTTCTGCTTCATCTGCTTCAACTAAAGTTACGGAGCTGGAGACTTTTCATTCAATCTTGATAGATGGTGCACAAAATAAACAGCTGAAGGAGTAGAACAGGAATAGTCAATTCGATACTCTCCAGGAACTTTAAATCTGATCCCCTATTAGCCTGACCAAATGAGTTGCATTGTAGATACTTAATCCTAAATTACGATAGTTAGAGGAGAACCAGAGACACTCAAGGTCTGAAAGTTCTTAGACTTCAAGCTTACAACATAACAGAAAACTTATTTTTCAATCTAATTTACTTCACAGAATTATCTTCATAAAAGGATGAAAGAAGAGTAGATCATCTCCTGAGCAACTTAAATGAAATAAAGATTATTGGTTCCCCTAAAGACAGAAAAATCATAAATCTTTTTTTACTTCCTCATTAACATTCTGAGAAATAGCCAGCAATGTCTACGTTAATTCAGTTCATGAAATATACCTTCTCCTAGTTCTCCTCTGCCTTATATTTCACTTGCATAGTACACAACTGTAAATTTATCATTGAAATGCACGAAGAGCTATTTCTCAAACTGAGACATATAAACTGAAATTTTAAATGCATTTAAGTTAAATAACCAAATGTATCCATTCATTTCCTTTTGGGACACTCAAAAAATCCATTATGTTTAGGAAGGAAAAAATACTAAAACAATAAAGCCTTTTCAATAACAATTTTTAGATGGGGGTAGGGGAGAATTTGCCTTTATCATATTCTCTATGAGTTTAAAAGAACAATTTTAAGAATAAATTGTTTTAGAAATAAAGCAGCTTAGCTGCAGTGGCCCAGTGGTTATAGTGCAGTACTACAGGCTACTTCTGCTGCTTGCCAGCTGCCAGCAGTTTGGCAGATCAAATCTCACCAGGCTCAAGGTTTAGCCTTATATCCTTCCAAGGTGGATAAAATGAGGAGCCAAATTGTTGGAAGCAATATACTGACTCTATAAACCGCTTAGAGAGTGCTGTAAAGCACTGTGAAGCGGTATAGAAGTCTAAGTGCTATTACTATTGCTATATGCATTTCTAAAAAATTGTTTATTAATAATATGAACTCAATGCAGATATATTACTTGCATTATGTAGCAGACTATTCTGACCAACATGGGTACCAATATTACTGGAAAACAATTTTGTTTTTGTTAACAATTTGAGAGAAATAAAACCTTTTGTTGTCAACAGATCTGTAAATATTTAAGAAGATAATGTTTGCAATACAAATGAAAGATATACTTTTAAACTTATAGAGAAATTGAAACTGAAAAAATATTTATAAAAAAAGTACAAAAAAGTACATATAAAGTACTATCTGTAATATATGTATTTACAAACACTAAAGTTACTACAACTTTCCCACTCTGAAACACATGCAAAAATCAGATTTATTACCTTATACTGTTTCCTATAAAAAAGCAAAGTGTAAAATGCAAAAAGTAACAATGCATTTAAACCATATTTTAAAAGAAAAGAATGGGAGGAAAGGAAGAAAAGCAGTGTAAAAAAACCCCCATTATTCCAAACTCATACAGAATTTCAGGGGAGAGAGAATTCCAGAATGTTAGCCTATAAGCAATTACAGGATGACATTTTATAAGTCTATCCCCAGGCAATAGGATCTATCCAGATGAACTCAGATATAAACTATATAATAGTCAATTGGTCCTGAGCATGTTAAGGCTTATATACTATAAGTAAAACCTTGGTTATGGACTTGGATCAAGTATTTGCATCCTTGCAGCTACAGCAACATCCTAAAAAGAACCAGAGCTTGACTATGTAGTCTTACAATATTTTTCATTTATCTTTGTCTACTGCACTGAAGACTTTGTTGCAATCAGGATGTACCAAATGGTACACAACCACATGAGGTTACAAATGAGACATGGAGAATTGCAACACAGGTGAGGCCTACCACAGAAAACTAACACAGAGACTAGATAGCAGGAACTATCTTTACTATAAGACCTACAAGGGCCCATCAGAAATACTATCTAGCCTAAGGCAGGATTTTAAACATGCAACTAAAATTAACAATAGTCAGGTTTTAAAGCTAGCTGAAAAGAGACAAAATACTCATCTTGCAACTTGGACTATTTTTGCCAAATCTTAAATTCAGCTACAAAGGCAAAATAAATTGTAGTGAAGCCTTTGGACAAAATGAAATTTAAGAATAGAGCAACAGTAGGAAACAAGATAGCAAGAAAAATGTATTTATCAGTCAAAAAGATAACAAATGCTTTTAAAAATACATTATATACAGAAAAGTAACAGCATCATGTATTATTACATAAATATGGGTTAATACCTTATTTCAATATCAATGTTTATCATATAATTTGGGAAAATTATATAGAATCAAATGATAGGCAGACCCATTTTAAAAATATGTACCCATTACATTTGTTAAATCTATTCATTTTATCAATAGATTTCTGCATTAGCCACCATATATATTGAAAATAATATTACATACTACATGAAATATACATTACTGACTTTAATTTGGAAAACTGTTTTACAGTTAATATGTTTTTCTGTTCTGTAGCCATGCATGTATATTAAGTGTAATAATCCTGAATATAGATATCAATAAACAGCACATTAAGAAAGAAAATGCAGCTTTCAGAAATTTTGCATAGATATTTATATACCATGTATATGATTATGAAATTCCAAGATATGGCTCAAGTAACATTCATATAGCTTTAATGCTGATAGCATTTACATGGAAGTAAGCTCCACTGAATCTAGTTGGGCTAGCTTCCAAGTAAACATATATAGGATTTGGCTCTAAAGAACGACACTCCAGTCCAAAATAAGAATGAGCCAATGCACCTAAAATAGCACTGAAAGTCAGACCACATGAAGTAATGACAACTACTATACAGATAATACAAAAATAACCTTATATAATACACAGAAATTGTCAAGCAATTTTGTCCTAAAAATATTAAAGAAAATATGCAGTTTTGCATTGACTGCTAGATAAGTGAGTAATTTAATGTCAACAATTACAGAGAAGGCAAAGTTCATTTTTGTATACCACAGTGTGGATCCTTAGCTTATTTCCAAATAAGTTATAGTTTGAGTTAAAACAATGTTTCAAATAAAAATTAATATTTAAAAAATACATTTAATAAACAATGCAACATAGCACAAATTACAAAATCCCCGTTTAAAGATATCTGGAATATTTGAATCTGGACTTGGGCATTCTTAACTAAGATCAGATTATACTTATACACAAACATAAACTACTGTGTATGTGTAGAAAAGCATACTGTTTTATGTGTAGAAACTTAGCATTGTAGAAAAACTTTACTATAGATTGTCACAAACACTGTTGTGGGTTATTAACTGTCCGCAAAGCCACTCTCTAAAGAAAGGGTAGACGCAAAATTTTGACAAATGCATTATGATAATGCCTGTCCTTGAGTTCTTCCCTTGAATCTCAAACAAGATTTTGAAATATATTTAAGACTACCCAAAACATTTACTCCTAGAGAACTAGAGAAATAACACTGATTGCAGTACTGATATATATATCACTCCATACAGAATCCTATTTTATGTAATTTTTGATGCAGCTCATTTCTGCACCAAACAGCCAGGATGGAATATATGCAAATAGGCTGTTTTAGCTGGGAATTATTATTTTTTGTATACTTTCTCTATATTTAAACAAAGGATATATAAACATTTTATTTTTGCTCTATATATGATACTCCTATTGTCTCATCTCTAACACTGTCAATATCCTGAATGATATGCTGTCACCTTCAAGAAAGCGTTCTGTATTTTTCTCTTACCCACATCATTAATCCCTCATATTCATGACTTGCTGTAAATCAGTCAGCAAGAGGAAAAACTGTTCTGCACAGGTGAATGTAATAGCCCCTACGATAAGCAAAAAACTGTTTAATCTATAATCTTTGTAAATTGAATTGATTTCATACATTACTGGGGTGGAATACCCTACCATTCATTCTGAGAATATAATTTATTTGCCAAGAACCTTTTACAGATATTTATATAAATTAAGAAACATGCAACATATTAACAAAACTTGTTACTGGAATTTTGACATATTTCCTAGCCTGCAATTACTACCAATCATAAGTCAGATTGCTTATAATGCTAAGACTAGTGATCAGGATAACCTCACTCGCACAGGGTCATTTGCGCAAGGTCATTCTGTATCCCCAGCAATATTTACCTTCAGTTCCATCAGCTAATTTGTCAAGAACCTTTTACAGAGATAATGTTTCTTAATTTATATAAACAAAACTTGTTATTGGGACTGTGACGTCTTTCCTGGCCTGTACAGTTGCGGCTTCTGCCTATCAGCAATCAGACTGCCTATGACGCTGAGTGATCAGGACAACCTGACTTGTACAGGGTCATTTTGTATCCCCAGCAAGTTATATTCTCCCAGTTAATAAAAGCTAAAAATATATTGTCTTACCTTGATAATGCTGGCTTTCTTGGGAATACCAGATTTGCCTTCTGGGTGCAGATTGGAACATCCTCTCTCTACAGCAGGACTGCCTGGTTGAGGAGTGTCTATGTGTTCTCTGTTTCCTACTAGAGCACAATCCCCATTGGAGACCCCATTACGAGCACTATCCAAGTGGATTCTTGCAATACCACTGCCCCCTCCTCCTCCTTCCCCATCACCTGCTTTAAAAGCCACCTTTCCATGTGCCAAATTTGGGGAGGACGTTGCTCTCCCCCCACTAGTGTCTCCCCCTCTGCTGCCAAATTCCGCCATCTGATTCTAAAGAAGCAATACAGTATTGTGATTTTCCTGCTTTCCTTTTCTTCTCCACCTCCTGCAGCAGCTCAGTGAGGATGATTGCGCTTCTCTTTCCGCTTTTTTCTCCCTGACACAAAAGATCTGAAGAGATGAGTGGCCAAACGCTCCCTTCTCCTTTTGTAGTTTAAATTGCAAAGTGCTGGAGACACCTCTGAGATCTACACACACCTGGGGAAAGCAAGAAAAAGGAGAATATGGCAGGTCAATCTGTTCTTAAATGAGGTTCCCAGAAATATTCATAACTTAAAATATTACGCACCACATGCATGAAAGATGAGGAAGGAGGAAGCGATGAAATTCAACAATCAAACGCTTTAGCAGCACACAAAGGTTAAGGCTACAAGCCCTTCCCGCTACAACAAAGACGATTTCTCCAAAGAGAGGGAAATGTAGAAAAACAATCGCAATCCTTTCCCCCAAAAAATCTAGAGGCGCCCGTGTGCGATGTACGAGGCGCAGCACTCCTGCCAAAGGTAAACGCTGCTACTAGCAGTTCGCGTTTGCAAGTTCTAAGGAAAGGAAATTAGTATTTTTTGCACCGTCTGCATTGGAATAGCCAAAGGAATATAGTTAAGATTGAAAATGATAAGCATCGGCGTTTCCCTCCCAACCATCAACAAGCATACCGCACGGCTACATTCTGTGATTTCCAGTTCCCCTATCTCAGTCCGGATACACTGTGAGCAAAGGACCAAGCCCTGTCCCTTTATACCCGCTATCAATCCACACCCGCCGCATGTTAGCCTTGAAATGCAATTCCCGCCCCTACTCATTATCTAGGCGTCCGAGGAGCAAAGGGCGCGCGGGAACAACATACACACCTCCATCCAGAAAGAGAGCTGCGTCGACTGCCCCGAAGGAGCGGACGGATCCACCTCTGAAATTCAAAGCGGACAAACATCTCTTCCGACAACAGTAACTGAGTCTGCAAGCCCCGGCACAGATCCTTCTTCCGGCAACAGGGCGCCCACGTGCACAATTTGCCTGCGTTACTCTGAGCTTGCACTTCCCCACGTCCTGCGCTTTCGGCCCACTGCTCCGGGCAACTCTTGTGCCTGTACGGTGTCCTCAAATCCCGCCCACGCAACACCCCCCCTCCCCCCAGTACCGTCCAATGCTATCCTTTATGCTACTTCTCACTTTTACTGCCGCCCAATTCTTTGTCACCCGCCCAAAATAACACACCTCCACAAGGTGAGGGAAGTCACTACTGCTGGCTTGGCTGCTCTTCCTCTGGCCTCAAAAACAGCAGCAGCAATCGCGGCTTCCCCTCCCTTCCCGCCTCTGCCTGAAGCCGGATACGCACAGTGATAGATTCACGGCGCCGCCGACTGGCTAGGAAACTAGCGGGTGGAGAGCGAGACACCCTTAGGCAAGGCAAGCGGGGTCCACCCACGCAGCAACAGCAGCAACCTCGGCTTCTGGCTCTTGCACCGCGGCGGGCCTAACCCAGTTGTCAATCATTCGAAAGCGCACTAGTCAGATTGGGCAATCACCCAGGACCCCTTTCGGCAGGCCAAACACACTACGGTGGAGTGGACGCAGGGAGAAACCCAAGTCCCCGACCGATGCTACCCTGAAGGAGAAAAAGGCCACTTTATCACAACCCTGCCCCCCTTTGATTTTAATTAAACAAACATCAGAATTAGTACTGAATTGTTTTTAAGCATCTGATGCCTTTTACCCAGTCATTCCCTTACCGCATTTGCTTAAATTTACTTATTTCTTAAGCGGCATTTTTTTCATGGAGGCGCTTGCCTGTAAAGAGAATGCCTTTGTGAAAGCAAACATGCTTTCACAAAGGCATGTTTGACAGCTTTTCATTTTCTATCTGGGTTGGAAGTAAAACCTAATCTGACTAACTTGTGGATTCCATTAAAAACAGGTGCCCTCCACATTAATGATGATCATTAGTTTTTCATCATGAGCAATATCACTGACTTCACTTGTGAAAATATCCCAGGACTATCAACGTTCATCAGATCAGATGGATTGGATTAGAGCAGAGTCTAATTCAACTCTGACCATAAATCGCTCACAAAGTGTAAACCAAACTGAAACGAAGGCATTGCATAGTATATACTCAAGGATATGCAGATGACCCTTCCAAAAAGAAAGAATGATGGGAAGTAAAGGTGCTGCCCAAAAAATATGCAAAGGAATATCTCTTGCAAATATTTTCCAACATACGAGCCAGATCATGATACCCAAAAGCCTTCTCCTAGTGGGTTCCCTAGTGTACAATCCACCAGGAAAATAACACTTACAAATGCTGTATGCTTGCATTTCATAAGTTTAAATGTTCTGTAATAAATTAGTAAGAATTATATGTTTGCACATGCTATACAAATGTCAGTCATTTTTAAAGACTGAATATCAAAAATCATACCCCCAAGAGCCCTTTTTTAAAATGAGTGTAGCTCAATTATGGAGCCCATATTTTCCATGTTATCATATGTCAAATTAATTCTTTACCATTTCCAAATAAAATGTAAATTCCAAAAATCTAACAGGAATCATTGTTGACAATGACTAGAGTAAGTGGACTAATAGCATTACTAAATATAAAGCAACTTCTGGTTTTCAGTGGTGAAATTTATTAGACATCCATATAACTATACAAAAAATAATATTGTATTTCTGAGATATTTTCTTCCATTTCAGTACAATAGTCTTCAACTTACAACAATTCACTTAATGATCATTCAAAGTTACAACCACATTAAAAAAGTGACATGACCATTTTTCAGTTACCACCTTTCCAGCATCCCCATGATCATGTGATCAAAATTCAAATACTTGGCAACTGGTGTGTATGTTGCTGTGTTCCAAGATAATGTGATCTCCGTTGCAAACCATTGCCTTCTTACAAGCAAAATCAATGAGGAAGACAGATTCACTTAACGACTGGGTTACTAATTTTAGCACCTATAGTGATTCACTTAACAATGGAGGCAAAAAAAGTAAAAAAAGGGGCAAAATTCACTTAACAAATGTTTCAATAACAAAATTTTGGGCTCAATTATGGTCATAAGTCAAGGACTACCTATAGCTTTTTTTGCCTAATCTGACCATTTAAACCAAAAGTAAACGAGTCTATAAGCAACTAATCTTTTAAAACAGCATAAATAAAAACAGTAGGTAAGCAGAATTTGCAAGAGATTACATTATCTGAGAAAGTGATGAGAACTAAAAAGGAATATGTAGCAAATATATATAACCAAAAAAATAGTGTTCCAGAAATGTTTTTGAAAAAGAAGCAATTGTTTGGAGTGAAAACATTCTGAAATTGCCAGAAATGAAATAGGAGATTGTCCTGAGAACAAATTTCCCTATGCACATCAACTGTTTTTCTGAGAAAATGTCTCCTGCAAACTAAGAAACCCCTTTCTCCCAGGAGTAAAAGATAATACATGATAAAGATCTGTAAAAAAGCAAAAGAGGAATACCATTTATAATCTGCAGCTGAAAGACTTTTCCATCAGATTTTCTCCTACAATGAAGTTCTATTTTTTTAAGTTCCTTGAAAACTGGTAGACTTAAAGGGATCTTTCAAAATGTGTACTGGAGCTCATTTATAAGCCAATAATTTTATTTTTATTTCATTTTATTTGCAGAATATTACCTATTGCATAGAAATTATAAACAAGTACATACTATGAACCTCAGCATTTACAAGCCTAAGAAGTTAAATGGTTGTAGCTGAAGTGCAGAAATATAATAGCAATAGCACTTGGTTTTATATATTACTTCACTGTACTTGACAGCCTTCTTTAAGTGGTTTACAGTGCCAGCATATTGGCCCCAACAATCCAGGTCCTCATTTTAGCAACCTTGGAAGGATGAAAGGCTGAGTCAACCTTGAGCCTAGTGAGATTCAAACTGCCGAATTGAAGACAGCCAGCAGTCAGCAGAAGTAGCCTGAGTACTGCATTCTGACCACTGCACCATCATGGCTCTAATAGAAGGTTATGTCCAAGAAATCCAGCAGGATTGTATGGTAGCATATGTTTAGATATGCTAACACCGCCAGATAATTGGGCGTTCTTCTAAACTCATAGCTCCTGCTTGAAGAGCAGATGACAGCCTTGGCTAGGAGACCCTTTGCATACATTGGGGTTGGTGTCTGCTCACTGTCATGCATGGTCTTGAGAACTCTTGTTTAGATTACTGTAATGCACTCTACATAGGCTAATCTTAAGAGCATTCAGAAACTTCACCTGGTGCAGAATGGAGCTATGTGTGTAGTAAATGATGACAAATATATGGCACTTAACACTATTACTATGTCAGTTGCACTAGTTCCTTGTATGTTGTAAGTGCAATTCAAGGTGCTGATTATCACTTTTGAAGCCCTACATGTTTTGGACTGGGATACCTAAGGGACTATCTTTTTCTAACAGTCTCTACCCACCCAATACAATCTAGCAGATTAGGCACACTTGAGATCATATCATATAGAGCTGTGATGGCAAACCTATGGCACATGGAGCCATATTTGCCGGCATGGCAGTCCTCAGCTGATTTTTGGCCTTTTAGAGGGCCGTGGGAGGCCATTTTCACCCTCCCCTGGCTTCAGGAAAGCCTCTGGAGCCTGGGAAGGGCAAAAATCCCCCCCCCCCTGGTGCAGCGTTGCTTGGACATGCAGCGTGGTGGTTTGCTCATGCATGCGCAGGTGGTGCGTTGCTCATGGATACACAGGTGGGGGGTTGCTTGCACATATGCAGGTGGGTGGGCACAAGGGCATGCACGATAGTAGACACACACAGTTTTGGCATACCTTTAGAAAAAGGTTAGCCATCACTGATCTAGAATGGTAGCTGGCAGTGACCAGAAGATGGGTCTTTTTTGCAGTGGCCCATGCTACATGGAATATTCTCCCCACAGAAAACAGAACGGCCCCAATCCTGCTGTCTTTTGTAAAGCTTTAAAAACTTGGCTATGTATTGAGCATGGAACTCTGAATGTTTAAGAGCCGTTTCTTGTCTTTACGATTAATTGGTTAATTTTCTCAGTTGCTATATATATTTCTTTTGAATGTTTCTTATGTTTGTATTTTTAGAATATAAGCTACCTCAAGTCTGTAGCTGAGATGAGAATAGAGATGGATGGATGGATGGATGGATGGATGGATGGATGGATGGATGGATGGATGGATGACAAAAAAACAGAAATTACAAACCGTATTATTACAAATAATATTATTATTGTAATTTGCTATATAGGCTCACTACAAATCTAATAAAAATGAAGACTGATTTTTGACATTATAAACGCCAGGTGCAAAATCCATCTC